TTACCCCCCCCCCCCCCAAAAAAAAAAAAAAGCTCCTTGCAGAGAAAATGCCAGAGTTACTTGATTTTGACAAGAACCTTGTTCATTTAGAAGCTGCCTCTAAGGTATGTTATTGCGCTGTAATTTTCTAGCCCTGGAAATATGAAGAATCTATGGATAAGATTTCCATTCGGTTGCTCCTCCTATCAAATGTAATTGAATTTTGTAAAACTAGATTCAATTGAAAGCATTGGCTGAAGAAATGCAAGCTGTGAGTAAAGGTCTTGAAAAGGTGGAGCAAGAGCTAACTGCTTCTGAAAATGACGGTGCTATCTCTATTGGTTTCCAGAAGGTGTGTGAAATTTAACATTCATCTGGTTCCTGCTAGGAATCTGGTTACTTTCTTTCAACACATATCTTCATGAGTCTAATAAACTTGAAATCATTCATCTGCAGACGTTTATATCGATCTTGAAATCGTTAGCCCTTTAAGAAACTTGTCCTCCAACTCTTTCCATCAACACCTATCTTCTCATTAGAAGTAGTTAAATCTGCTTTAGATCCTGAACATTGACATAAATTATAATTTCTTCTGTATCAGCGTGTATATCTTTTTATCCTGAACTTAGTGGTAGTTGTAGGAATTAGGGACTGCTAGGTATTTTCCTCAATTTAACATTCTTTTCATATTAGTTTAATGATCTTTCTTTCGTTATCAATATAGCTTGTGTTTTTGACAAGTTACCCCTTTCAGGTTCTGAAGAATTTTCTTGATACTGCTGAAGCTGAAGTAAGGACACTCATCTCCTTATATTCTGTAGTGGTGAGCCATTTTCAATAAAATTTTCACTCCAGAAAGTGTTCTGCTTCCCTCCTCTAAAAGTGATCTTTCATTATGCAGGGGAGAAACGCTGATTCATTATCCCAGTACTTTGGCGAGGATCCAGCTCGGTGCCCCTTTGAGCAAGGTCTTGTGAATTTTATATTTCAGATGCACAATCTTTAAGCAAGGGGTAAAATGAGAAAAAGATTTCACATGGAAATTCCAAGTTGATGAGATAAAAATGAACTTCACGTGGAAATTCAAGAGATTCATACTAGAAACCTAGCCCGGTAGGCGTAAAATCGGTTCAATTCATCTTGATTTGAGGCAAATCATCCCTTATTCTACTATATCAATTGGAATAGAAGTGCAAACTAGCCACAAGTAATTGTGACTTAAAATCTTCAATTACACCACTTGACCAAGATTCACAGTATCCAACCAAAATAAGCCTCAGAAGTACTATCATACAACCCTTAACCACAAGAGAACAACCTTTGGTAGTTAATGAGTTCTTAAACTTTTCTTTAATGTCCTTGAAAATTGCCTACTATTTGAAAATAGAACGTCTCTACTGGATTGAAAGTGCAGAGCATTAATGAGTATCCAAAGATGAGTGTTCAATCAGGCTGTTGTCTTGATTCCTGTTAAAGTAGTTACATAGGTGCCCAAATGGCCATCCTGGAGTGGCCTGCCAATGATTAGTAATCAACGTGGTATGTTTGAACATGTATTGGACGCAAGCGAAAAATAGTCGTAAAAATGTTTGATGTGAGGACAATGAATTTAAGTTGCCAATTGCCTTTCTTATGTGCAAAATCAGTCCAAGGTAGGAGGAGGAGGATATTGAGATGGACTTGATAAGTTCTGATGGTGGAGTTTGCATGGTCTGTGCTTATGGCCTGGGAAAAGCTTTATCAGGCAACACTACTGTTTCTGTTCTATTTTGTAAGTAAAGATAAACTTTTAGTTGGATTGAAATGAAACCTGATTCAGTCGTGTTGAGACTTATAAGAAAAGTAGTAAATTGTGTGGGTGGGTTCGGCTTAAATTTGCAGCAAGGTTGAGGTAACCACAGTAGATGGACAATAAGTTCCTGTTCTCAATAATTATTATTGGCGACTTGAATTGGGGCCTTTTGAACGTGAGAAAGCAGCTCCTTTAATAGTTCCTGGATTAAGATTGTCTTAATGTTTCCTACATTTTGGAAAATTTGTGTTGAACATATGCTAATGAATTTGTTGGTCTTTTCTTTGCAGTGACTCAAATATTGATAGTTTTTGTTAAGATGTTCAAGAAGTCACGCGAAGAAAATGTAAGGCAGGCTGATGCTGAAAAGAAAAAAATAGAGAAGGAAGCCATGAAAGAAAGAAGTTTTGTAAAAGCAAAGTGAGACCATCTTATGTTTTTGGTAGAAGGTAGTGCCAGATCAGCCTCATTGGTTAATTAAGTCAAACGCCTGACGATGTGCAAATGTAAATATCAGATGTGTGAATCACTGACTTCCATCGAAGGTAAGCTAAATGGCAAATGGCACGACGCGAACTTAGATTTTATCTGTTTTATGATCTTTACAGCTGAACATACGACGATTTTGTTTGTTTCCAGGTTGGCTCTTCGCCTTCCTGCATTACCATTTCTTTCATTGATATTGTTTTGTAAATATACCGTGATCCGACTCGGGGAGTGGTTGCAGTTTGCCAATCTGAACTCGACACTGTCATTACGGTAACAGAACTCCTCAAAGAAAAATATGTAGATCTTTGTACAGGTAAATATCATGGATAAATTCCTCTCGCTTTCGATATTATTGGATTACAGGTTGGTAGTTCAGTTTGACTCATGGTGCGTTTTGCTGCACATATACTGTAAAGAAATTGGTGCAAAGTTTTCTTGTCAAGGACAACACTTCCATCTTGAACATCATTAATTTCAGTATGAAGACACAGTATTCCACGGAAGTGCGTGTCAATGACTCCCCTCAAGGAAACAGAAAGAGAGAAAAACAACCTTTTTGACCTTTAGAAAAAAAGCAACCATTGGGACCTTGAGAGAGAAAAAAAATAATAATATGATAAAATAAATAAATAAACTCCCTTTTGTCAACTTGAATTTATTAGATAGTCTCATTCAAGGCATTGTCGAGCTGTCTTTCAAATTCAAATATGTAATAGATTTCATGTTTTTGGTGTTGGTGCTTGAAATATTTGAAGACAAATCAAAATTTTAGTCCAGAAAAAATGAAATTGTGAGATCCCATTCTTGTCAGAATGAAGCATTCCTTTGTGAAAATTTCTTCATAGCAAACGCTTTTTAAAATCTTAAGAGAAGCCTGAAAAGAAAAATCCAAAAAAGACAATATCTATTAGCGATGGGTTTAGACTATTACATGAGAATATACTGGTATATGGATAAATATGATTGATTTGGACATGTAGGGTCAAACTTCTTTCAAATTCACCGATTTCTTTTCACAATTCAACCACCTTTCGTTTTACACCCGGCTGTACCATTTCAAATTTCAATATTGTTCTTCACATGAACTTACAAGACAATCAGAAAGGAGAATTCGTATCGCAATGTTTAAAGAATGCATATATTCAATCTTCTGCTAATTTATTTCAAACAGATAGCATTGTCCTACTCTTCTCGTGAGAGGAAGAGATGTGTGAGCTGAAGGCATCTTAATTGAATATTTTGAGGACAGTGGAATCGTGGGATTAAAACATGAACAAGCAGTGCTACTATTGACGCTTACTTGAACAACTAAGATTTTGCTTCTTTTTTGTTTTCCTGTTCGTCACCATTCTAAAACTAGGGTGATAACAATGATTAGACTACAACTTGAGCACAGATCAAAACAGAATGAACTTACAAGATCTTTGGTCTGCCATTGCATCAATTGGTATAGATATAGAACTCCAACACATTGCAATCATCTCAGAACGAGTTATCCTGTCTTTGAAACTGAGTGACAAGTGAATTCCTGTTAATATACCAAGGTGTCGGGGCGGTCTCAGTTGGCAAAATGGAGATCAGGGAGGTCAGCGCTCACAGAGAATTTAAGCCATCTCTTCTTTTCAACATACCTGAGACCGGGGTGCAACAACAAGCCAACTGCCACAGCAGCTAGACTCACAATCATCACTTTTACCACAGAAAGGGCCAACACTACGCATATTAATATTGTAGGAGGGATACACATCAGGATTGATCCAACGGTTCCCACAGGAATCTTGAAAGGCCGAGATGCAGCTGGATGTTTAATCCTTAGCATGATAAAGGCTAAGAATTCCAGAATCATTCCAAAGCAGTACAAGAAGTTCTCTACTGCTATGATTTCTTGGAAGCTCAACCATGAAAGCAAAACAACACCTGAGGCTGAGAATAGTATCCCAATCAATGGTGTCCCATGACGAGACCGTTTCCCAAAGAACTCTGGCAGCATTCCGCGTTCTGCCATACCAAGAAGTTGAAAAGAATCACTGCTCATCTCAGCCACGAACATTCCCATATTCGATATGGCAGCAGCACCTGTGATCCACCAACTCAACCAAGCCCCACCAATAATTTTAGCAACATCAGAGAAGTAGCCATCTGTCCACAAGTCACGATTAAGCGGAATGGCTCCGGTCCCACTTAAAAGAGGAAAAAAGTACCCCAGAACAACCAAAATCAAAGCATAAAACAGTGCTTTGGGGAGTGTTTTGTTTGGGTTTTCCACTTCTCCAGCCAATGTGCTAATAGAATCCCAATAATTCAAATTCCAGAAAAGAGTGTTCCAGTACAGATTCCAGTCAACATCCTTTAGGTTCACCACAAGCCATCTACTTGGTCTTAGCTTGGGAATAGATATAAGTCCCATAACTGCAAAAGGAAGGATTGAGAAAACTCCAAGGATTACAGCAACCCAACCAACAATTGTCAATCCTCTATAGTTCATGTAAGTGAGAACCACTGTCAAAGCCAAAGCCGCAGCGACTTTTGGAAGACCACCACCAAGAGCTGGGATCTCTGACTTCAAGTAATCGAGAAACAAAACAGGATATAGAGCATTATCAATAACTCCACTAAGCCATTTCATCCAACCCTGCTGGAACCCCCAAAACGGACCCAATGCAGAAGAAACCCAAACAACATAACCACCATTTTCAGGGAACATAGTCCCCATCTCAGCAGTAACCAATGCTTCAGGAATACTCCATATAAGTGGAAACACCAAGAACCCGAGAAGAGCTAACAGAGGACCAGCTGCCCCAACACTGTCCTCAACTCCAAACGGACCCCCTGAGACCTCATAGAAGATGAGAAACACAAGTGGTAACACTGAAACTTTCTTTGCATTATTGACCGGAGAAGAAGGCGATTCGCCAACCGACACATACTCTGCACGATTTAACTCTCCCATTGCAACAGAAACTTGTCTGGCTGGCGAAGTACCAAATTTCTGCACACAAGTCACGAAGTAACATTATGACTAAGAAGGTTCGAATTCATCTCTCACGTTACAATTCGAACACAGAAACAAAGAACACACTACTCTCGGTCACTTAATTCCTATCAGTTCATAAACACTTTCAGTTTCGTAAATCCAGTAAGTACCAATCGACATCTTACATCTTGCCATAGCAAGTAATTCCTTGATTAACGTCTCCAAAGACGCATCAAACTCATGATTCGCATTAATCAAATATGACAGAACTACACCTAGACACTGTTTTCACATTACAAATGAAACGAGAGTCCCAAAAAAGACGAACAAAACACAAAATAAGATTCGAAATTAAATATTAAGCTGAAAGAAAAAGAAAGAAGAACAAACAATTCAGAAAACCAAAAATCGAGATATTAAAATAAAAATAAACGTAATCTTGGAGAAAAATCTTCAGGATCGTAAAACTGAAATATGCAAGAACAAACGAACAAAAGGAGAATCAAAATCAAGTAGAAGAAAGAACAAACCATCAAGAAAAATCAATCGCCAGCGTCGAAGGATGCATTACTGCAATAGCACCTCCGCCGTCGAACAAACGGAGAAAACTACCGCCGAAAAGCCCTCAAATCAGTATGGTGTTTCAGAATCTAACATTAACTTACAGAAGAAGAAGAAGGAGGAGGAGGAAATTCTACCATTTAATATTTTTCTAAAAAGTTAGTATATATTTTATTCGTTTTTGGTAAAAAATAAAAAAAAAAATCGTGTGTGCCAATATTGAAACGACGAATATTTGATTCGTGGGTTTGCATTGGGAAGGTGTTCCACTTTTGACAAAATTGTGGGCCCCAGTGGCCACGTAGACGTACAGACTGGAATTATAAACCCCTTATTCGGGGTCAGAAAATGGGCCCATTTTAATTTTATGAAGAATGGGCCCATCGCTTCTTTCTTCCTCAACGAAGATTTTTCTTTCCCTTTACAAATAGTGAATTTAAATAAGATAGAAAAATAATCTTACTATTACATATACCTCTATTTAACTTATTAGTTTATTGGAAATATAAGGATTTATTTTTCTTTATAAATTTAAAAAAAAAAATTATCTATATAAGTTTGTGAACCTTATAAAATATTTATACATCTCAAACAATAACTTTGAATTTTTAAATTTTATTATCTTACCACGTAATAAGTTGTTAGGCCATTAATAATAATAATATACAAAAAAAAAAAAAAATGAATGAAATATTAAAAAGACAACTATGAAATGCCTATCCAAAATAAACTTTATAACTTTATCATTTTATTTTGTCTCCTCTTTAGGACTTCTTAAACTTTAGTGTTAGATTTGAGACCCTTAATGTCACATCTATATTAATTGAACATTATATATATTATGGAATATTCTCACTACTAATTATCTTAGTTGATTCCAAATTTACTTAGCTACTATATTTTTATAAATATAATTATTAAATTACATATAATATTCTAGATGTTAAGGTGCTTGTGCCGTACTTGTCGTAGTAAAATAAAAAAAGGTTTGATATTCTAAAATTAAAATATTTCACTTGTGGATGTAAATGGAAGGAAATATTCTAAATTTCTCTATCAGTGAGTTTAGTAAAAAAAAAAACCAAAAAAACAGAACAACGGCAACAACCGGAAGTCAGAAACGATTGGTATCTCTTTTACTTTTCAAACCATGTAGCTAAGTTCTATCCACTGGTTTTTGTCGATTCCTGAATTTGGATATCAATTTCAAGGTCACCTTTCCATCGTCTAAGTGAACAAAATGAAAATTCTTTGACAAATCATTTTGATTTCTTATTTCCACGAATGTTTGAATATTTTCTCTATAATTTGAAATAAATGATTCAATATTTATTTTTAAGAGCTACATTATTATAATTATTTTAATTTCAATATTTATTATGCATAACTTTTTTTTTTTTTTTTTGAAACATCGATACTAAGAGGTTTGAAATTGGAAGGTTAAATTAAAATTTATTTTGCAAAACTATTTTATTTTTCTTCATCAATTTGAATATAGTTCAGGTTCAATAAATAATTTTCTACGTTAGAGTTGCTAAATAATAATGTTGTTATTTTAAAAAGATAAGATAAGATATTTAGTATTATTATTATTATTATTATTATTATTATTTGAAAGGCTGAAACAGATAGGAGGCTTCAAAAGCATGAGCTACTTAAATCGTAGCGAAATCGAAGGGCGTGAGTTAGGGGTATCAATTTTATATGCCTAAACGATAACTATTGCGCTGAAAGAGAATCGTTTCCGAATCTCAATTCTAACTGCCAAGAGGTTCAATCTCTCTCTCTCTCTCTCTATAGCGGTGGTGTTGAAACTCAAAGAAGGCGAAGAAGAAGCAAAATCACAAAAAAAAAAAAAAAAAACACAGAACAGAAACAAAATCGAAGCAACGAAAACAAGAAATCGCAGGTTTCCTTTTCTTTCACTTCTAAATCAAGATTTCAGTAGCGATTGTTACCTGGCGGTCGGAATCGCCGACGATTGGCAGTTCAGTCTCTGCACTGCTGAGTTCCTCCTTAGCGCCGTCGGAGTGAGACGGAGCAGTAGCGGCAGCGGCCGACTGAGCTTGAACTTCCTTCTCGCCGAGTTCCGTCGCTGGCGGTGCGGCGGTTGCAGCCTTCTC